TAACACCTCTGGGTATAAACATATATCAGGACACAGCACCCTAGTTCAATTATAATAGCATCTTTTAAATCAATCCTATTTGGTCATCACCCGTTACATCCAAGACCTTTGGACACATTTCTGTTACTACATTAAGGCTTCATTCACATGCAATGTCTATTTTCTAAATTCTATTTTCTATTCGCGGTATGTCTTATGATCACAGTCTGTGCCCTGAATATCCCGCGGCGTAATTACTGGCAGCGCGAGCCAGTTACTATAAGTTACTGGCAGCGCGAGTATAGTAACTGGCTCGCGCTGCCAGTAATTACGCCGCGGGATATTCAGGGCACAGACCGTGATCATAAGACATACCGTGAATAGAAAATAGAATTTAGAAAATAGACATTGCATGTGAACGAAGCCTAAATGTCTAATAATGTGAAAAAAGGTCTTTAAGTTAAAATAAGGTATTAAGTAAAAACTAGGTGCCACCAAAAAAGTTTGATGTACATCCAGAAGCTTTTTCTAGTATATATATATACTTTTATGTGTCTACTGTTTGAAATTACATGACACTGTTTTTTGAAAGGTCCTGCACAGCAACGCTTGTGCAAGATTTTGACACATTCCTAAGTAAAAAAAATCTTCCATTCAAAATAAACATACTTTTTAAAATGGCTCTCGTGAACAAACAAAATAAAGCAAACAAAAATTCAGGTATGTTTGGGTGTTTACATCAGTTTCTCACCAAACTCCATACTCCTACCCCTTGCTGGGAGCCCCCCATGCCATTGCTACAAACTCCATCCTAGCTAAACAAATTTGCATGTGTACATATCATTCTTAGTCCAGTTTTCTTTTTCTCTGTATGCTCTCTGTTTCTGCAGGAACCTGAGACCATATTTTTTCTACTTGACTGCTTGGCCATACAGAGCAGTAGCATTGTTATCACAGCGACAAGTGAAACACCTCACTGCTCAGCTTTGTGATAATGTTTTACCTAGGTGACCTAAAGTACCATAGGAAATGAAGACTATGAAATATTGATATACATATATATATATATAATTCTTGATTTTTTTGTAGATATTTGAAACCTAGCTTATTGCCAGAACATTAATTTCAAATTATATTTTGTTGCACTCAATATGGTTAACAACATTGCAAAAGAAACTGCAACATTAATTATTATGCTGCTAGAAGCAGATTCTTCTGCCCTGGAAAAAAAGCTGTTCCTTTTCAAAAGAACAAACCCATAAAGAGCTTTTGTGATTAAAAACTTTATCTAGTTATAATAAAGCAAAGCTTACACCCATAAAGGAAAAGAGACCTTGACAAAAGTTAAAATAAAGACTATTTGCCTTATTAAATACATATTATAGTTACCTTTCTCTGACAGTACTTATCATTGTCCTTTTAAACTTTGTAACAGGTTGAAACTCTTGAAGAATATCATTCAAACAACATTTTTTGGCCAAATCAAAACAAATTCTTGCCTGCTTTAGGTATGCAATATACCATTTCGATATCAATTTACTTTTTTTTTT